GGAAATCATAAGAATATCACAAAGCCCTATGAGGGGATCAGGTAAATTTTGTTGTGACACAACCTAAATCTTTTTATATTATCTTACTGTTGTAGTCTATACTAAAGCAACTATTTATCTTAGTGTCAGTGACTAATGTTTACCTCACTTATTTGCGGCAATGAAAATAGCCACCACAAGCCACTTCCACTTTGATGAAGAATTGTTTACCAAACACTATTTTTTTAAGTGCACTGACACTTGCTTACCTCACATTAAAGGTCTTGAGCAATGGAGCCAATGATTCACACAGACCTTCTACAGCGAACTTTGAGGCACAATAAACGCCATTGAAGGGTACTCCATTGATACCTCCCATACTCGATACACAAATGATGTGACCCTCCTTGTTGGACTTCATACATGGAAGTGCAGCTCTGGTGAGACGCAACACTCCAAAAAAATTGGTCTCGAATATGCTCCTTACCGAATCCATGCTTTGTACCTCCAGTGGACCAAAATAGCCAACTCCTGCATTGTTTACTGCAAGGATATAAAAGTAAATTCATTCGGTAATGGGTGTAAAAAATCCATTTACGAAAAAAGAGGCTAGAGTCCAAACTCCTTAGAGTATATGTGGGGTTACCGGTTACCTCGCCACCAGGGAGACTCGCCACCAAGGAACGATCTCGCCACCAACGTACTCGCCACCAAGCGAAGTCTTCTCGCCACCAACCACCAATAAAGAGATAAACTAGAATAAAGTAGTCGAGGAGAGTAGGATGTTCGAACGAGCACAATTCAAATCGGCCGAACGTTTGTGCGCTTGTCTGTATTTAAATTATGACCTTCAGCGACGTGTTAGATGTGTTCCGTTCCTAACTCATTGACATCAAAACGTATCGCGTTTGTCTTTTGCACGTAAGCGAGGAGAAATTGCAAAATTCGATGCGAGGAATAAAAACTTACTTCGGTTTCGAACGTGCTATCGACAACATACATTTATAAAGTTTGAGTACAGACAAGCGAACAAACTTATCGGTTTCGAACGTGCTTTCGACAACATACGTTTATAAAGTTTGAGTACAGACAAGCGAACAAACTTATCAGCCGAACATCCTACTCTCCTCGACTAATCTCTTTATTGGTGGTTGGTGGCGAGAAGACTTCGCTTGGTGGCGAGTACGTTGGTGGCGAGATCGTTCCTTGGTGGCGAGTCTGCTTGGTGGCGAGGTAACTGGATACCATATGTGGAGGTGCGCGAGAGCGCTGGTGTCTTCGAGAGAGATGAAAATAACTACAAGATTTTCACTCAAAACATTTTTTAATAATGATGGGGATCGATAAAATACGACTAAATCATCTAATTGAAACAGTCAGACCATTCTATAGAGCAGCAAGGTTGTGCCCGCGAGTGGCCCTCGCTGGGAAGTTAGCTGTGCTTCTGTTACGCTTCGGAATTTTACGTCGTAAACGACGAAGACTACGACTTTGTCGCTAGTGCTCAACTCGGGCTAGTGATAACCAATCACGTTCGAGAATTTTGTTATAGTTTTGATTAAACGAAAGAATGTTTTGTGGAAAGAGGGGGATAATGAAAGGGGGGGGGTCCTGCGCAGGTCTCACGCACATCAAAAAGTAGAAATAACACATCGTGAAAAAACGGATAGACAACTTTAACGTTCACGTATCGCGAAAAGCGAAAAAATCAGATTTCATAGGGTTTTAATTTCTTATTTTTACTGGTCAAGAAAAGCAAAAACACTTAATCCCGTATCATGCAATAACCCCTTCCCCCCCTCCCTCTTCAAAGTTGTTGGTCAAAAGTGTAACTGAAGCCGTTTTGCATAACAATCGCATATTTGCATATTTAAGGTCTACATGGGGTACTGGGCTTTTAAATTTTTTTTTTTTTAATTTTGGCCATTTCACAGCTAACGGTAATATAATCCCATTTTTCTCACCAGAAATTTTATTTACGGTTAATTTTTTTGCGGCTACGGGTTAAAATTTGTCAACTTTTTACGCCTAACGGCTAAATTATTTGGCTGTTTAACGGCTATCGGTTGACCCCATTGAGACTCACATATTTTCACACAGACATGTAGTAATTGCATGAAGAATTTAAAGAAAACTTACTAACGACATCAATTCGCTGATGTGCGGATACCAGCTCTTGGACAATCGCGTTAACGGAATCATCCGAACACACATCCATAGCCCTAATGAAGAGTGTGTCTCCAAGGATATGTTTTCCCCGTTCCTCCAGCTCTTTCTTTTTCTCAAGATTTCGCATCGTTGCATAAACTTTGAAACGCTTACATTGATCACTGGCTAGCAAAATAGCTGTAGACAATCCTATTCCCGAGGAACAACCGCTAATTAGTACTATTTTTTCAGCCATATCTTTTATTACTCTGGAGCGTCTATCGATTGTCTAACTGTATCGTTGCGTGACTGAAACTCAGACCTTCCACGGCCACTAAAAGCCGTCGTTTGTGAGATTGGGTATGAATCGGACTAGCACCCTCCCCCGCCTAATTGCTCCAACTTGTGAGCAAAGGGGTCCCCTCTTGTGCGCCTCTGCTCAGACTTATGATAATCTCGTGACTTGTACCCAGACCACCTGAGTATAGTCTGCGGGTTATTTCCTATATTCTCCTCAATGCTACAGTCGGCAAAATGAATATGGTTCCACTCGTTTTGCTAATTTTCCTTCACTGCTCTCATGGACAGGCTCCTCAGCCTGAACAGATTCACATTTCAGCCACAGGTAGGCGAAGTGAAATCTTCTTAGTGTTTAAATTAAGCTAGAAGGGGCGCTTGTGTATGTTCTTGACTTTGGTTAGTATTCGACCTTTGGGAATTACGTAACTGATATAAACGAAAGTTTGTTTGCGCGAGCAATATTTGCACATTTGAGGAAAATATACTCTGCCTTTTGGTCAACAGAGCAAATTCGTTTTGGATAGTATGGGGTTTTACGGAAACCATTTTCTCGGCTCTCCCTAAAGCTGTTTGTTGAGTTGTCTTAGCTTGACGCCATCTTATAACTTCCTTATTTCGTTACTTACCCGTTTCGTTTCGGCTGGGATTTAAGGCCATAGGAGTTTATGAAAACCTGAATAAAGCGTCCTGTATTCCGCATTTGTATAATTACCGAACGCTGATCCTGTTAATACTCAAACCATTGCCTATAATAATATATTTTTCCTGATACTGCATAGTGCGTCAAAAAGGCGTACTGTAACATGCGAGACGAAACGAAACGAAACGAAATGAAAATATGTTACTTTCGAAATGGAAATGTGCTAATGATTTGCAAATAGAAATCTGTAATCTGCGATTTCTATTTTGATCTGGCGTTAGATCAAGATAACAGCCTCTACCTGATAAGTTTGAGTATTCGCATTTCCTGTTTGCTGAATAATATATGCATATTACTCGAGAATGTACATTAACGGTTAATCACTTCTGGGAGTTAAAGGGTTACCTTTTGTCTCCACTCCAATGCTATACTGTACTGCTTCTGCTTTGAGCTTCAACTTGTTTATACTTGTAAACAGGTTAACTCTTATTTATAGCAATATGGTCATACAAGCTGCCGTGTTGGTGTGTTTTGCTTTGATCACCTTGCTGCGTTAAACTAAATTTATCATTGAATCTAAAGATGGCTGACCGTGAAGAATCTCTTATGTACACGGCAAATATTTAATAAATCTATATACTTAAGCACAAAACAGTGAATATTTTTTATTTATCACCTTACTTTATGACCAATACTGAGAAAGTAACTGGTGACTTTGAGCCGTTTTCCATTGGAAGGACTTTAAATGTTTAAAATAATCAACTCTTTTTGTTGTACTTGTTGTGGTTAGTGAAATACTAAAGACTCAAAAGGTTGGTCCATTCAAGGGTAGTCCTTTTGGGTTGTCCATCCGGGTAGACCATCAACTAGGCACAAACCCTGAATCATGCTAAGTTATTTGTGAGTTATAAAAGATGAAACTTCAAATTGTAACCACAGGTTATTGTGAATTTTTATTTTACTCTCAGGGGATCCTACAGAGATGATGATCACATGGACAACAATGGCTGCCACAAACTACACTATTGTGGAATACAACAAAGCCGGTTTTCCTCTTACACTGCGGGAATCTGGTAGCAACACAAAATTCACTGACCCACAGTCAGGAAAAGTAATAAGGTACATACACAGGGTGAAGCTGACTGGACTGGTTCCTGGTCAGAGATATGGTAGGTGACCTCAGTTGTTTTTAAAAAAAGCTTTGTTACTTTTAAGCTTGATTTCCAGTTGTATCACTGCAAAGAGGAAATTGTAAATATGCCTTGTTTCATCAGGCTCTCCAACAAAGTTTGAAGTTTAGGAAGAAGAAAGATTTTATAGAAAACTGAATTTTGCAAGAAATTTCTATGCACTCCAGATGTATACCCATGCTTATAGTGCCAGTTTGTGGGTCAATTACACTAAATATTGATTTTATATTGAAGTTGCCATTGCATTTATTTCCATTTACCATAATGTTAAGGAAATGCAAAATAGCTGTCAATGGAGAGTGTTTGTGAGCAGATGCTTCCCTACAGTTGTTAACAAGTCCCTTAGAATTGGATTTTCCCACTGACACAGGTCAACAGTTTTTATAATCCCCTGGTCAATTTATTTGCAGAATATCGTTGTGGAGGGTATGATGGTTGGAGTTCACTTTTTGCTTTCAATGCTATGAAGTCTGGTGAGGACTGGAGTCCAAGGATTGCCTTTTATGGAGATATGGGAACTGTAAATGCTAAATCTATCAGCTATTTGCAGGAAGATGCTCAAAATGGAAGATATGATGCCATCCTTCATGTGGGTGAGTCATAAATGACTATCATGCCTTTCACAACCAAGATCTTTGTATTTACTCTTATTGGAAAGGTCAGGTCAATAAGTTTGAAGGTAGAAGTAAAGGAAGAAATAGCAGGCAGTCAAGATATTGTGGATGTCATTTTGTTTCATAAGATTATATGCAGGAATGGGGATTATTAACTTCTAATGTGCCTGGCATTCCACAAGTTTGAATGAACCTTTGCAAAAAATCTGAATCTATAGAATCAATTTGCACTTGTTAACTTGTTAATATTAGGATTATAATTTTATAAATCAAAATTATCTGATTGTTTACTTGTGTTTACGGTAAAACAAGGTGAAATTTTAAGAGCTCATATTTTCGATTATGTTCTTTCCCAGGTGACTTTGCATATGATCTGTTCGAGGTTAGTCAGTGTATTCAGTCTACAATGATTCCATCAGCAGTTATGTTTCTAATCTATTAGCTTTTTGGTGTAGAATACCTAATATCAATATTCTCATTTACTGCCTTTGGATAATTAATTTGATTTGAAGTACAGTCACTGTGTTAACAAAAAAGGGGCAAATTTATGAGTACACTATGGTTAAGATAATGATAATGATAACAATCTTTTTTAATGAAGGTAGGACATGATATGACAAGTTAATAATCAACAAAAAAGAAACAAATATAAAATGCCATGTAAATAATAAAATTTTCTACACATATTTATGACTGCAAAGTTATTTTGCAATGGATGCAAAACAAACCTAGCCTAGGGAGTTTGTTTTCCCAATTTGGCTTATAAATGAGCTCAGTGAGAAGCATGAAGACCTTTGTTTCATGAGGAAGACTGCTCCAAATTTAGAAAGTGTAAGTGGGTCGGAAGAAAGAGAAGCATTATATTGTATAGCAAACGTCTCCAAGGTAAATTTAAAGTACAAGATGTAAAGTAAGGTACATTTTGACCTTAGTTGTGGAATAAATTAAGCTTAGTGCATGTGCAACATGTTTTAACTGTGACACAAATTGAATTAAAACTAATCTTCTGCATGGATTCAAACATCAGCAAGTTCTGTTTTCACAGTTTGATGCTCCTAACCAACCAAGTTGTAAGGAGCTTTAGTTATCAAGTTGGACCATGTCAGACATAAGTCTTGCATATTCTTAGGATCAGCAGTGTCAATTTAAACTTCCTATTGTAAGTGAGGGACTTTTGTGTTCTTTCTCTAGATCCACTCTAACTTAATCCCTGCTTTTTTTCTTGGCTTCTTTGCCAACAGGATGAAGGACGAAATGGAGATGACTTTATGAATGAAATCCAGACAATTGCTGCCTATGTTCCCTACATGACATGTCCAGGAAATCATGAACGTTACTAGTAAGTTTTTCTTTTGTGTTTTCACAGAGTGTCTTAGTACATTGCAGCTTCAAAAGGTCAAAAGAAGGAAATTAACTCAACAATCTTTAGTGTATATATGCTAGCACTGAAAAATCTGATATCTGAGTTCTAGTGCAAGCCCAAAACTTAGATATATTCTGATCTTATTCCACAGCAACTTTTCCCACTACAAAAACAGGTTCTCAATGCCAGGGAATACCCAAGGGGTTTTTTACAGGTATGAGTTATACATGTAGCAAAATTAACGCAAATCGTTTCAATCCCAGGAGTGATCAATAAGTTAGTTCTCGTTACAGCACTAAAAGATTTATGAAAGAATGGTGACATGTTAAAGAAAAATTAAATATCAACTAGAGTGTTTTGTTTTAAATTGAGATAAATTTCTAAGAGCCAGATCAACAACAATGTATAGAAGACAGAGTGGAGGATGATATCTGGATGTATGGGGTGTAGGGATTATTATTAGTTGATCCAATACCAAAGTCACTGAAAATAATTTGAATTAGTGCCTGGAAAGTTTGGTTTATTTTCTGTTTCACCATAGTGTGTTCATTAACAAGGAACACATTAATTTTTGATCCTTCAAAAGATTATGCTATTTGATGTAGTCTTATATACTAGGATCTGAGCCTAAGTCTAGCCTGTTCTAGGAACATGTTAAGGGCTGAAGATTTGACATTCTTATGGCACTCAGCTACAGCAGCAGTTCTTGAAAGAACCAGAAAGATAACCTTTCTGCAATTTAACTATTGAGCTAAAATTATGTATACTCTGTCTAAGCTTTTTCAGTAGCAGTAAAACCCAAATTCACCAAGGATCATTTTTTGGCATGCATTAATAAACTAAATTGCCTCAGTATTTACATAAGCCTGTTTCTCTTGTGTTTGACCCAAACTGTCATTCATTTTTGTCTATTTTTGTCACATAGTTGGAACATTGGTCCTGCACATATTATCAGTTACTCTACAGAAGTCTACTTCTGGTTGGAGTTTGGAATTGAGCAGATTGTTCAGCAGTATGAGTGGTTGATCAGAGACCTCCAGGTAAATAAGTTTTAATGAAAAAAGCAAATTAATTTTGAAACAAACTTCACATTGTGCTGCAGTCGTAGGCAAGTGAGACACCTCCTAGTTTTAATCATTAAATCAGTTGATTTAAGTATGATTCATTATACCAATGGATGTTTCACAGGAGGCAACACTTCCAGAAAACCGCAGTAAACGTCCCTGGATCATCACCATGGCTCACAAACCAATGTACTGCAGTAATGATGATAGTGATGACTGTACTAAAGCCAACAGCATAGTAAGCTTTATTTCTTTATTTTCTGTCCTCTTTTTGTCCTTGGGATGAGAGTAAGGGGGGAAAACCCAGTCACCCCAAGTGCTTGGAGAATTACAAAGGGCAGGCTCTTTGAAATATAGCCTGTAGGAAAGTGCTATTCTTACATTTACAGAATAAAGGAGGCAAGGTTAAGGTGAGCACAAAAGGTGAATAACATGTGGTAGGAGGAGCATGGAAAAATGAGGATATTACTCACACCATTGATCTTGGCAATAGGTGATCTAAGTAAGAACAATTGGGTGCAAACAGGAGTCATTGCTTTTTGTGTTCTAACGGTTATGATGTCTTGCTCCTATGCATGCATGGATTTCATGTTCTGATAAATAAGACTGCAGATTTTCTGTGATTTGGGAGTTGTCTAGTTTTATTAGGCTAGTGCTGCTAATGCTCAGCTACAAAAGGAAATCATATCACCTAAGTATGGATAAAAATATTCATCAGAAAAGACTCAATAGGTTTACAATGTATTTGCTTTTGTGCGTGACATGAAAATCACTTTCAGTTTAATTGTGATGCAGCATATTTATTCTCTAAGTTTGTGCTGAATGTGATGCTTTTGTAGATTCGCACTGGAATAACCTCTAAGCATTTGTGGCCTTTGGAAGAATTGTTTTACAAATATGGTATGAAGATTTTGATTTTATTCTGTATTTGATGGTATTTGTACCATGTTGAGTACTTTGCAAGCATTTTCAGCTGCCAAACTTAAATGTCTTATAGGGATTTAGGTACTAGTATATGAAAAGTGTCAAGATTTGCTGGATGTTATAATTTGAGTAAGATTTCCCTACAGCCCATACTTAATTATACATACAGCGCTTGGATCAAGAAAACAAAGGCAAGAGCGATAGGTTGCCTTTAATCCCCACTCTTGATACCCTAAGAAGGTAAGGCTGAAGATCTGTTACGGTAGCTCGATGATTTTAAAGGAGGTGGAGCTGCGAGAAAGAGCAACGAAATTTCTCTGGCGGATCTTAAACGTAGTTCACGGGTCACAGGTGGCAGGTCGCACGTCACGGGTCACTGGCTACTGTTAGATGTCAACGATGTTCAGCAAGACCTGTTACCCGCAACCTGTTAGCCCTGACCTGCCACCCGTGACCCTTGAGCTGCGTTCATGGCCAACTTAACTTTCTCCCACAATTTTCTTTCCCAAGCCTTCCTTTTAGGGGCCTCGCCACTCAACGCAAAGTCACACACAACGCCTGCTACGCAGGTTACATTTTCATGTGATCCTCCAATCCTGGTTATGCTGCACTCATCGCCTTGGCTTTTTTTATACCGGATAATTTTCCCAGCCCAAAAAGGAGAGTGTCAAATTTTGGAGTAAAAAGTAAATTGTTCAAATGGTTACGTGTTTGTCTCAGGTGCACTTCTCTCTTTTGAAGTTGAAAAGCCTCTGTCTTCCAAAATACAGTCTACCCCCCCCCCCCCCCCCCCCCCCCCCCCCAACCCCTTCTCCCTTAAGTTATGCCCCCTCTCACGCAAAACCCCGCCCAAATTATCATACTAAATCGTACAGCCTTTCAAAACGGAGATTACATTGAACGCATCAGTGGCTGACCGGCACTTCTGATCAGTTATATTTTACTGCTGGTATTTCAGGTGTAGACATGATGTTTGAAGCTCATGAGCACTCTTATGAACGACTGTGGCCTATTTATGACATGCAGGTAAGACTCCTCCTGACATTTCAGTTTCTCCTTAAATGAACTCCGCATATTAAAACACTTAAACACTAAATTCTTTGTCTGTCTCTTTCTAGGTTTGCAATGGGTCTTTGGAGGAGCCATACACCAATCCCTGTGCCCCCGTTCATATCGTCACTGGTTCAGCGGTATGTCAGCTATCAGTATTGATGCTTGCTAATGAATTCACAGACTATCATGTTGCATGAAATTTTGTGTGGGTTTTTATTTCTGCAGATTAGTAGTTTAATCGGCCTCAAAAGTAGCAAAATAGAGCAAATATGGTATTTAAGTCAGTATGCCAACCAGACATCAAATATACTGGCACATCGTAGTTCAACCCCAAAAATACAAAGGCAACCAGTCATTAATGCAGAACAAGCACATTGCATTGCTTCGGAGCGGTTTCTATCGGTACCTCTCGTGTTCTTTGTCGAGAGACACTTAACAGTTGGAAGGAGTCACTTTCTAATAGGAACGAGACACTTTCAATGGAGACAAGACTTTGGGGTAGTTGCAAAACTCGTCGGGAGAAACGAAGCTCTTCTCGAGATAGTTCACGAGAGAAACGAGATCCTTCAGGGGCAGAGACGGGATCCTCTTTGGAGAGGGAGGGTGGGTGGGTCTTGAGAATCGAGATTGATCTCCTAATAAAAGAGACGCGATTTACTGCACACTGGTGACGTACATACGACTTTATATCTGTAGTGTATCGATACGGTTCATGATTTATAAGTCGCAACAGATATCTAACTGTGCCTAAAAGCGCTCAAAATGTTTGTTTAGAAGGATGCTTTAATGAAACTTGGCGTATTTTTTTTTCCAGGGATGTTATTCTAAGCATGACGCCTTCAAGAAGGAGAAACCATACTGGACAGCTTTCCGCACTGTGAATTACGGTTTTTCGCAGATGACAATCTTCAATAAGACGCACATTGGCATACAGCAAGTTGACGTCGATCTGGTAGGTGCATGGAAAGAGGAAACCCAAGGGATTTCTTCTTTGGGATTTTTCTCATAGCGTAGGGGGATTCCCGCTACCTATATGGTACACTAGTCTCGAATTGTCCGTTACCGGTTACATTATGGTGATGAAGATAAGTTTTCTAAGGTCTTATGTTCTTACTTTGCCGATTGAAAATGATAAATAAATGTTGTAACATTTGTCACGAACGTGGGGCAAAGAGGTTCTGTGTTCTCCGGTGTGGAATCGAACCACAGCCAGTTCCTTTTTCAGGTCCAGTGTTCTACAAACTGAACTAGAGAAGAGATTTTCTCTTCTCTCCCCTTTGTACGAGGCATTTATCGAAATGTGTTTCTTGTTTCCTTGCCATTTTATCTTGGGATTATCGTAGTTGTTTTTGCTGAAGAGATGGGGATTTCTAATCTTGTGCATGACAGTGAAATAACTTTGGAATTACATTTTCTGTTTACTTTGATCAGGGAGGAGAGGTTGTTGACGAAATAATGCTGATAAAGGATGTTCATGGACCAGAGGCCTGGGTTAAGAAGGATGTGAAGAATTGAAAGCTGAGGAAAACGGCGATATTCACTACATCGCCTGTCGGAATCTTGTGGTTTTTCTTATTTATATGAATATGCCTGTATTGAAACACTCTTTAGAGAACCCTGAGTAATTTCTTAGCGTATCTTATCTCTATCCTCTCTTGATCACAATGAAAATTGCACACATGGACTCTGTTTTGAAAAAACCCGATGTTTAAGTTATTAGAATCTGTGAATAGGGGCGTTCAATGAGAAAGGATAGTTATAATTTATTTGTTGCAGCTGGTTATGGAAGAACCAGTTTAATTTATTATATGTTGTGGCAGTGTAATCTCGGTTAAGTGTCGGACTCGTACCATTGTGCTTATGAAGCAGACGAGGCCATAAGTTTTAGGACCACCTTAGACATAAATTGTGAATGTCATTCATTGTAGGGACTGCATTGTAAATCATGCAGCATGTTACCGTCAGCATCTAATGCTATGTTTGCTATGATTAGTAGGGTTTTTTTTCAACTTTCGAACAAATTTTGTAACTTTAGATTCTAGCGGTCAACTAACTTTGACCTGATAAAAATTTAATAAAAATAAAACAAAACAAAAAAAATTTATTTCAGTATCATAATGCACAGACAGAAAGCTGTAATTTACCTTATTCAGGTAGGTCTTAAAAGTATATCACTTAAAATGATTTTTAATTTTGTACATTAGCACAAATAAAACTGAAAGTTAATTTTTCGTGTAAAATATACATGAGCCTGTTGGACGAGTTGTGAAGTGTTCATATCTTGGTGACACGAAACATCCATGTCAATAAATCGGTTAAAATTGTATGACATAACGAACGATATATGGTGAACAAGATTACGAGCAGTCCCTCCTTTTCAGCGAAGTCAGTGGCATACGTAGAAAAAAAACGAATAAAAAAAATTGATAGTACTAAAGAAGTGAGGTGCACGAAAGGTAGCATCCCTCCCAAAGTTCTAAGCAACGGGCCAACATCACTTTTTTGGCTGATTTTTTGACTGCCACAACATACAGCCGATAGGGAGTGAGTGGTGGTAGCTTAATAGTGAACATGTGCCTTTCTAGCGACCTGTTTTTATTTGAACTTGAACTCTGTATACAATGAGCTCCACTTATTTGGTGAATACCCAAAAATGAACTACCGAAAAGCATAAGAAAAACTTCCTTTGTTTTGTTTTTGTTTTTGCTTTTTTAAGAACACGGATAGTTTTTGATTCAATTCGATTAATACGGTGACCTTACTTTTACGTATTATTCAGCCAATGAAACATGCTTTTTGGAAATGTGAAGTCGAGAAAATCCGAGCTAACAGCTGATGTTTATCGCTCATTCGAATCGTCTTTCTATATTCGAGCTCTTCTAAAAGTGCAAAATAGTACTATGATTTAAAACAAATCAAAATAATATAAATAAAAATAATATAAAACCAGAGAATAAAAAAGAACTGTTTAATTAAATAGAAATGTTTTTTTGTCCATAACTCACATTTTCTCAAAAATAAAAAACCTGCAAATTATCGATCGCCAGCGAGAAGCAAGGTTAAGGCAACGTTTTGGAAAAACAAAGTCAGGTACAATGCACAAAATTGCCCATTCTTCCCTTTCACATGTCAGACACGACTTTTAATTGTGGTTATTTCATGGGTATTATCCAGGCACCCGGTCCATGGTGGTGTTTTGTAATCCACACATTATCGATGATTTTTCCTCCCTGTTAAGAGAAAAAAGCACGAGGAAAAAAATTTAACCAAGAATGTTATTCTTTCGTTGTGGACACAGTTTATAAAGTTGGATCATCTAAAACCGATAATAAGGCAAAGGAAACACAACAAAATTGTGCTCCTCCTTTTAGTCAATATTTATCGCCTGTAGGGGGGAGAAACATTATCACATTATTTTTTAGGGGAACGGACGGGGGATAAATCGTCGCCAACAGAATACAATGGGGACTATGGAAAATTGACTGCCAATTAACTGGCAATGGGGGGGGGGCCGGGTTTAACAACTAAGTTGCTAACGTGAATTGGCCACCGTAGAGGGAACATACAAAGCTAATGCTCAGCTTTACAATCTCTCTACGGTGGCCAGGTCACTTTATTAAACCAGCTGATTAAAGTATCTTTTACAAAGAAATTGTATTCTTCAACTAACACGATTTGATAAACAGTTGCCGCAGGTGAGTTGTTGAGACGGCCCTGATAAGATGTGGAGAATTGTTTGCAATGCACCTTAATCCTAGCTTGTCAGTGGCATTGCAGGACAGCAGTGAAGCGTATCATCAGCAATTTAAACGAGGAGTGGTAAGGGCAAGACAGCATATTATTTTAAGAAAGCCCATCTTGTATGCAACATAGCATGCACTTCGACCTTCGACCGTTGACCGCAACCAAAGAGTACGCCCACAGGCTCACCTTATCAACACTGACTTGCTCCATATACAGATGCGTTTTGTTGTGAATTTTCATTCTTGTGTAGCCGTAATCCAAGGCCCGATATGCTGTCCATGGACCATACTTTGGCTTAAAAGCATCGTGGTGTTCTTTGCATCCCTGCGGATGTAACTCGTTTGTAAATTTATTTGAATTTAGATTGTATGTTCATCGAGACTGTTAGTTACTTCTTGCCATATGTTTGGCTTCACTCCCGATTTTTAGGGTGATTTGACAATGCATAGTATTTTCTGTAAAGTAGTCTTTTCTTATTCAAAGATAGAGCTCATCTTCAGACACGCAATCTCATTAACTTTCCCTCAAAGACCCTTTTCCCTCATTGGTTGAGGCGGTCATCAAGGCAGTGCGTTTGGTGTTACCACCATGCACCACGGTCCTAGTTTCCCGCCCTTCGCCAACGAAACGCAAGCCCGTGAGGATGAGGTGAGGCCTATACTCAATAATCATAATGGCAATTCTGCGTCTCTCAACACTGGGTCTTTAAATAAAACAGAGCGCCTAAAGATTTGGGAGCGTGGAAATAATATTGTTGCTCAGGAAATGAGAACACTGTTTTCATCTGTTAGAATACTTACTTTTATCAGATATAGAATTTGATAAAGAGGAGAACAATTAAAACGCACTTTCATTTTTCATTTTATGCTAAAATGCAAATTTAGCTTGAATTCTTGCAAGTCCCATACCGCTGATCCTGTGATAATGTGAACGGGGGCGCATGGGTTGATGTACGCATTTTCCAAAGGACTCCGGCAAAGCTACAACGAAAAAATATTTATCGATTAAGAACGAGAGATGGATAGCAGAAAATAAAACAATACTAAGAGGTTGGCCATTTTATCATTTTATTTTCGAGGGTAAGTTACTAAAGAAACTGTGGTGCTGCGTCGGTGAAAACGAAACGCCAGCTTTTAAACTCTTTACGGTGGGCAATTTACGTAATCAACTCATTTTATATAACTTAATTAAACCCTTTTTTATATTCGCTCAGGGTGGATGTGCAGCGGTAATACAATAAAAATTACCCAAGAATAACTTTGTTATGTGTCTGTTGAGTTCCGGATCACAGAAGATGCTCAAATAACGTGAAAAAAATCGGTGACTCTCTCGCCAGCGACTTGTTTGCCACTTTTCCTCGAACCACAATTTACGTCATCTGATCTTGAACTAAACAAACAAACAAACGGCAAAATGGAAATTTACCTTTCGGTTGTAAACAGGATAAAGTCTTTCGTAAGAATGTTCATGAGCCCACACCATTAGATCAACACCTGAAGTTTAACGAGATAATAACCTTTTTTATGTTTCCACATAACGAGAACGAATCAAGCGTCTTTTTCTATTGGTGAGAAAATAAAATTTACCCACCGTACTTATAGAAAAGATCCTCCAGTCCATATTTTGAATTTAGACCAGTACGAACCTTGGAAAAAATACATAAAATTAATAGTAATTCAGTGTTGGTAGAAAAATATGATTTACCGTTTAAACAAATTTTATTACATATTTTGTTTAAGTTTGTGTTTCTGCCAGCTTTGCAATCGAAGACTGCAACTCCAAACAGTTGGAGTATGGTAGGTAAAGTTGCATATATGGAAGGCGAGAGGTTGCTCGAATTTCTTCCATATGTGCTCCAAAAGTGATCCTTTTGTGCAAGGTGGCAAAAACTTGCAACAACTGAACGCAATGAATGTTGTGTAGCTACACCAAATTATAAATGCTGCTCAATTGATAACACCGAGAGTAGAAATTTACACTACTAACAAAGTCTGGTCCAGGAATTCAGGGTGAAAAATAATGCATGCAAATTCACGTTATATTGCGAAAATTACAGGAAGCATATGAACAAATTAAACAAAAACTCCGAGTTAAGCGAGATAAGAGTACTTGCTAACATCTAAGAGTTCTCTTTCCGGTGTTATATCAGCTCTCTGAACTAAAAAAAACTTACCTTGCTTTCGTTCTGAGTGCAGTCATCACCATCAGCATTTGAACAATACATAGGCCTGTGACCCATCGTAATAATCCACGGACGTTTGGCTCGATTACTTTTCTTTGTTGCTTCCTGTTAAATCAATTACAAACTTAAGGTTTTAAAACATGTGTCTGTCTCCGTTCTCATAAGAAGACGGGGTTTCAGTGTCGAATTAGAATGTGGTAGTTTCCTGGATGCTTATCAATTAATTATTATTATTACCATCATCATCATTATTATTATCATTATTTAGTATCATATTATCGCTAGGATAAAATGTATTGGTATCATTATCATTAATATTTAATATTATATCATCATGATTATTTATATTATCATTTTTTCTGAATTTGGTGGGAACGATCATAAACAGAGTGATTCTTGGCAGTCGAAGACTAGTGGAAGGGAAGAATGCAAGTCATATTATGTGACGTACGATAAACATGTCGAAGATCCTTCACGTTTTGAAACACTCTAAAAAAAACAATTTTCACCTTGAGATCAGCCTCTAACCACTTGTACTGATTTGCGATCTGTTCAGATCCATACTCGCGGTAAAAGAAGTAGAATTCCGTGGAAATACTTATTATATGAGCTGGACCAATGTTCCAGCTACAAAAAA